TTTAACAGCCAATTACTTTACCATTGAATATCTACGAAAACAATTATCCATTCTTAAATAGATAATAATTCATTGTTGCCCTTCAGTGTACATGCGATGTCACCCATTATTGGGACAGGGATATAAAAACTACTGTATACTGCTCAGGAACCAAGATCAATGTTGTTAATGTGAGCATTTGGGACATGGGTTTATTAAGTCAGTAAACCATCGAAGACTCTATGTTTAAAACCACTGATTACCAACAGAAACACAGATTTTCATTAAATTATAAGGACTCAAAGTGAGACACAGGCTTGTCATTTTGTGACCATAAGCCACGTTAGAGTTAAAACATAATGCATGACACTCCCAGAGGTAACTGCAATTATAAACCTTTAAGTAGATGTTAAAAGGACATTCTTTACTGCCTTACTCAACATTGTAACAGTTATTAATCTAATATTCTAAAAATAATAAAAGTAAATAACAAAATCTATAATGATTTTAACTTAGGAAACAAAATTTTATATATTCAACACATCAAAATTCTTTAGTTTGCTATTCTGCTGAAGAAACAATTTAGTTAATATCATTTAGTTTGGTTTATATTTTTCCTCTGTGTGATCAATATTATATTCTATATGTCATATAAGACACCTAAGGTAGAGCTGTATATCAAGATTCTTATGAAACTTGCTGTAAAAATGGTATCTCCTTTCAGTTTGTTTGAAATTCATTTTCTGATGTGCTGAGCAGCAGCTTCGAGGGTGATGAGTTCGGTTGACATCAATCCTGTTGGAGGGAAATGTTTGCAACACTATTCCCTTCATTTGGGTGTTGATGTCCGTCATGCACATTTGTATTACAAACTATAAAAACCCTAAAACAAAATTTGAATATAGAATTTCAGGAGCTCTGGTGGCCCATGAGATGTTTATGGTGAAAGAAAAATTTGTCGCTCTCTATGGGAATTTAGTTTAATGGGTAGTTACATTTACTTGTTTTATAGATACCTCATTGTTGAGAGAATATGTTTGTTCAATGTAGGAAATATTTGAAGCAAGGTGAAAACCACATCTTACACATAGATACGGTGGGTGCCATAACCAGCCTTTTCATATGGCTAATTAAACCTGACTAGTAATGTAACTAGATTAAAGAAAATGACAATGGAAGAGAGGAATAAGATTGAGAAATACTAAAATTAAGAGTATCCTGACAGAGATGAGGCTTCTTTCTGTCAGGAATAACTGCTAAGATATTTGGAACAAGGACATTTGTAGTCTAGACTGAAATCCCAGCCTTACCTCTACGCCTAAATGTGTTCCCTACTAATTCAGAAAAGGATGCTGATTGTGTCATTATGCTACAGATAATAATTCGGATGTTTGTAAAGGCTATATGAAGAGTAAGCCAACGCAAAAAGCATTTGAAACATCTTTTTTTTAACCATTAAATGAACTTAGAAAATTTGTGAAGTACATCTAGGTGTGTTTCTTTGCAATATAAAGATGGGGAAACATTATTTTAATGACTAAACAAAATTGTATACAGTAAAACCTAGCTCTAGGAGAATAAATGTTATCAATTTGTATTTAGATCAAAATTTTCATAAAACTAATTTTGTTAATATAACAATAGAACTTGCATCCAGTAGGTACTGGAAGGACAGCTAACATTCTGCCTAATGCCTTATTTTCTTATAGTTGACTTTTTAATGTCTGAATATAAGTCATTTTTTATGAATATATGCTTCAATTGTATAGAATCTTTAAAGGTGTAGATTCAGGATAATTAATATATATTTTTATTAGATTGCTGAAAGCATATATACATACATATGCATTAATGTTTAATAAAAATCCATCCAGCCATATTTTTTCTTGATATTACCAGATGGTAAGATTCTTAACACAATATATCTATATATTTGTGCATGTTAAATAAACTAATAAAGATATAACAGGCAATTTTTAGTTTTTTATAGGACTCTAATAAGCACACTCTAAAGACAGCAAATATTTTATTAATTGAGAGATTAATTAATGAAACAAATAGAGTGAAAACAAAAAAGTGAAGTTGTGTCTGGAGAGTTAGAAAGTTATAGAAGTTTAATTGTTTTAATAAGAATATAAAATATTAATTTGTAAAAAGTCAAAAAATTAAAAATTATATATACTCTGACAATATTAAGACATTTGTAATGTTTAATTTATGAAATTAATTGTATGCAGTATTATGTGATTTGTTAAATTTCAATGTGATATATCTCAATAATCCATAAATACAAATTCTGCTATTGGAGCAGTGTTTGGTTAAGACATCTGTGTCTGTGATTTACAATGAAGGTGGCACTCACAGTGTTATGATTAACATGAACTTTCAGTTTCAGAGACTCTAAAATCTTCTGGCAAGTAAATTTCAATAAGGAATAGTTAGAAGACATTGGCCTCTGGGTATGCCTCTGAGGAATTACATTGATTATATTAATAAAAGATGTAGTTGTGAGAATTTTCCTGGCCTGTTATCCTGGGCTGTATGAAAAAGAGAAAATAAGCAACACATAGACACTCCTTGATTTCTTCTATATGTATACATAGTGTGGCAAGCTCCTCCGTGCCTCTGCTCACTCAACTTGCTGCCATGATGGCTGTGGCTTCTAATGTGAGCTAAAAATAAACTCTTTCTCTTTTAATGCTTTGGCCACGGTATATTATCACAGCAATATTAACAGAAACCAAGATAAATGCCTAATAGTTTTGTTTGTTGTTTATTTCTATGTTTAACACAAAAGGGACAAAAATCTGGGCTTTGCAAATGCTAGGCATATGCCCTGTCTGAGCCATGCCACCACTAAATAGTTTTTTTGTCTTTTCGTAATTTTGATGGAGAAAGAGATTGTACTATGAACAATTTTTTTAAAATAATCTCATCTACGTGACTTCAGTAATGCCAATAATTCATTGTAGATCTCTGTATGATATAATTTTAACTCCTAAGTAAAACCAAAATATTATAATTAGTTTAAAATTTAAACAAAATTATACTTCTACGTGATTTAGAAGGGCAATTAACTCCTATCAGCAGACTGATGAATTTCCTCTGGACTTGTACTTCATAAGTTGCTTTCAAACTAGAAAGAACAAATTTTACACAAAATCATTTGAATTTGAGGATCAGGTTAGGAATTACTTGAACTTACCTATTCTGCTAATATTAAGTGATTATTTTTAACAACTGGAGATACTTTAAACAAGATATTTTTATTAATGATAAACATGTGAGAACTTGCACATACACTTTTACTCTTTTCCAAGACTATTGAACATCATTTGTTATTTAATAAATTATCACAAATTACTAAAATACATGTGAGTTTTCTGAAAAAGATTTTTGTTTTGATATGTTTTACATTTTAGGTATTTGATAGATTAATTTTCCATCTTTGAGTAAGAGACTAGAGCAGTATAATTTCAAATATACTAATTAAATAACTAATAATAAATATACTCAGAAACACGCTTAACCATAAAGGCAATGGCATATGGAATACTACCTAACTTTATACTTTCAAATACAATAAAAAGCTTATTTCTTTCAATGGGGTTTCATATAAAAATAAATAAATAAATAAATAAATAAATAAATAAATATATAATCGATACAGTAGCACCTCAAGATAACATCTTATTTTGACAGAAGATGAGCATTGTAGAAATATTTTAAACAGATAATTTTATATCAATGTCACATCTCTTTTATGAGTTAATATATGTGAAGCTGGAAAGGAAATTCGAGTCTAGTTCCAAAGTTCTGGGAAAGCACGCTTAGACTTTCTCATGGCTTGTGCTTACATACTTTGTCAGGACAGTGTTAGGAGCCTTCCTTGCAGACTTTGTTTATGCAGAATAGGTACATGTGCAGACGCAAGGGATGTTTTGCTCATGGAGAGGAGCTTCTTTATGTTGTGTGTGCTGGCTGGAAAGTGTTCTAGGATTGCACTCTATTCTGTAAATATAGATTCTGTAAATATATTTGGACTCATTTCTGTGAATACTTATAAATTAGGGTGGCTTCTGCTGGTGGCCAAAGAAATATGTTATTAATTAATCCAAAGATACTACTAATGACATTGTTTCACTTTCATGGATCATGAAAAAGTAGAAGCTAAAAGATTATGAACTTCACACTCTGAATTCTAATTTTGAGGAATAATAAAAACTATAATAATATGTTTAAGAAGCTATGCTATTTAGTTTTAATTGTTTTATGGCTGCTTGGTACAGGCAAATGCAAATTACAATGGTCTTAATTGTTAAACCAATTAATCTAAATGATAAATTAAAAATAATTATATATAAATTTATCAAAAATGTAAATATATAGAAATATTCTCTATATCTTTTATTTTCTTCTATCTTTACATGAAAAACCTGTTATTCTACTACTAGAAAAAATGCCTTGACTTTATCAGAGAATTTCAAGAAAGGACAAACACTTTCAAAGATTCTTTGTGCCAAAACTGAAAAAGACATATGTATTTAATTGTTTTTGTATTTAGTTTTTATTATGGGGCACATAAATGCATGTGGTCATGGAATAGGAGCATTTTTATTAACATAGAACTCTAAATTTTTAATTCTAATTCTCTTTACAATGATATAAAAACTCAAAATCATAATGGACTTCAGTGTCATGTGGTGGCAGTAGAATTATGAATCTTGAGGCACAATTATAATCTTAAAGCAGAAGAAGCTAAGTTTTAAATCACTTGGACCACGTTTAGATTGTGGTTAAAAATAGAAAGCTCTACCTACTACAGTTGTAGCTTACTGACACAACCAGCATGCTTTCTGCCCCAAAAGGCAGCGTAGTCCATGGAGTAAGTATATGTGACTCTCGGAAGTCTAAATCTTCAGCACCCCAATGGAAAGAAAGGAAAGAGATTGTGACTTTTGACAATTATTAGTTAGAAAAAAGAGGTAACAATTGCCAAAAAAATCACAAAAGTGAGCATGTTACCTGGCTATGACAAAGAGCACACAACTGACACCCAAGTAAGCCAGCAGAATATACATCCAGATATCAGGGGAGAGAGGATTCAGGAAGGAGAAGACGCCTGGGTTTGTACCATTGGGCTTGCGGTACAAAATACTTATTCCAAGTGTCATAAACGGCTTGGAAAAGTCGATGACCTTCTCTCGAACATAGGTAATAGCCAGTGGAGCAACGGCAAGGTCAGCTTTCTGTAGACAGAAACATGAAAGAAAGAAAACAGTTCTAAGTCACCAATAAAATATATATAACTAAAGATTTCACACATCAGAATTTCTCTAATGATTTGATAAGATCAACATCATTCTTTACTTGGAAAAGTTAATCCACTATTTAATAAGGTAGCCATTCCTAAATGTTTCCAGATAATTACTACACTATTACTCTTGACATAACTAGTTAGAAAAAAGAAGTAAAATTGTAGGATAAAAAGCAAAACAAAGTATTGTACATACAGTAAATGGTTGAATTTAATTGTAGTGATAACTACGCCAAACTATTTTCTTTAAATTCAAAAAAAATTTTCTGGACCAACGGGATGGTTCAGCACATAGGTATGCTTGGTAATGTGTCTGACAACCTGAGTTCCATCACAAAAACCCACGTAGTAGGAGAAAAGGGACAGCCAAAAGCAGCCTTCTGCCTTCTGTGTGCATATTGCCAACAACATACATACACATGAGCATGCATTTGCACGCACAAACTACAAAAGGTAGAAATGAAATAGTAATCTTTTTTTCAAAACTATGGAGTACTTAGTTCATCTTAAACATTCAATTATAAAGTGGTTAAAACGTCTATTAAATCATTTAAATATGATTGTTATGTACTACCCAAAAGTTTTGTTTCTATTTCTCTAATTTGTGTTTTATCATTTAATAAAAATCCCCATTAAGTTCTTATTCTACTCAAAGACTAATTAAGGGATCATTAATGACTGTATTTTGTATATTTTCATGTAAATATTTCATGAGCATATGCAAATATGTATTTCCTCTGTGAACAGTACTTTTCATTTCAAATAAAGAAAAGCCTAAACAACCAAAAAAAAAAAAAAAAAAAAAAACAATCCCCATGGACTTGTGTAAATCACATTTTTTTCCTCTTTGTGTTTTTTTTCCACATTCTTTCATTTCATTGAAAAGCATTTTTTAATTTTATTTTTTTCTTATCAGTTACATTTTATTAACTCTGTATCCCAGCCGTGTCCCGATCCCTCATTCCCTCCCAGTCCCTCCCTCCCTCCCTCATCTCCACCGTGCCCCTTTCCAAGTCCATTGATGGGGAAGGCCTCCTCCCCATTCATCTGATCCTGTTTTATCAGGTATCTTCAGGACTGGCTGCAAAGTCCTCCTTTGTGGCCTAACAGGACTGCTCCTCCCTTGGGGGGTGGGGAGGTCAAAGAGCCAGCCATTGAGTTCCTGTTAGAAATAGTCCTTGTCCCCCTTACTATGGGAAAGCAATTGGTTACTGAGCTACCACGGGCTTCATCCAAGCAGAGGTTCTAGGTTATCTCCATACATGGTCCTTGGTTGAATGTCAGTCTCAGAAAAGACCCTGTGCCCAGATACATTTGGTCCTTGTGGAGCGCCTATCCTTTCCCCATCAGACTAACTCCCCTTCTTTCTTATGATTCCCTGTACTCTGCCGAAGGTTTGGTCATGAGTCTTTGTATCTGCTTTGAAAGCACTGCTAGGTAGAGTCTTTCAGATGCCCTTAGTAGACTCCTCAGCAATCAAAAGGGAGGAAATCATAAAATTTGCAGGCAAATGGTGGGATCTAGAAAAGATCATCCTGAGTGAAATATCCCAGAAGGAGAAAGACAAACACGGTATATACTCACTTATATAGACCTATAAGATATGATAAACATAATGAAATCTATACACCTAAAAAAGATAATCAAGAGAGCGGACATGGGATAAGATGATCAATCCTCGTTTAGAAAGACAGATGGGATGTGCATTGAAAGTATGAAAAGCATTTTTTAAACATTATGTCCTGATTATAGTTTCTCCTTAGTCTACTCCTTCCAGTTCCTCCCCATTGCCCCTCCCACACATATACATTCCTCTCTTTTCTCATTAGAAAAAAAAAAAAAAACCAGACAGGATTTAAAGGGTAGTATCCAACAAGGAAGACCCTAGGGAAGATGCTCAATCCCCATTCAGAAGGAAAAACAGACTTCAGAAGCAGGAGAAGATAGGAAACAGGACAGAAGCCTACTACAAATGGCATCTGAAAGACTACTGATCAAGGTATCTAAGAAGAGGCTGAGACTCATAGCCAAACATTGGGCAGAGTATAAAGAATCTAATGAAAGAAGGGGGAGACAGAAAGACCTGGGGGAGACAGGAGCTCCAAAAGGAGAATGACAGAGCCATAAAAACTCAGCCCTGGGGGCCCTGAAGAGGATGATACCCCGACCAAGGACCATGCATGGAGAGGACCTATAACCCCAGCTCAGATGTCACCCAGAGACTCAATCTCCAAGTGGGGTCCCTAGTAAGGGGAGAAGGGTATGAATTCTGGTATGAATTCAGGGGCACGTTCTCTGATCACCTCCCCCTGGGGGTTGCAGCCTTTCCAGGCCACAGAGGAAGACAATGCAACCATTTCTCATGAGACCTGATAGGCTAGGATCAGATAGAAGGGGAGGACCTCCCCTATCAGTGAACTAGAGGAGCGGCATAAGAGGAGAAGAGGGAGGAAGGATGGGATTGGGAGGAGACGAGGGAGGAGGCCACAGATGGGATACAAATGGAATAAATTGTTAATAATAAAAAAGAAGAAAAAAAAAAGAGGTAACATCCAAACATGATAAATAAGCTTTCCAATTTTCACAAAGTTATATCTTAAATATCTTAAAATACTACTGCTTTGAACTTATGTTACAACCATCTGTCCAGGAGGAGGAAACACTCTAAATGATGCAGAAAGCTACGCCTAAAGAAGCGCCCACTGCTCTACCTGAGGCCATACCTGTATCCAGAAACCCAGGTAAGACCCTACCCACAGACATTCAGTGATTCCTCAGAGCCCTGCAGTTTTCACACAGCACCTCTCTACCTGTCTCAATGTCCCGGCTCAAAACTCTGCCAGAAGTCTACTTCTTTGCCTGAGGCCACGCTGATATATAAAGTCCCAGAAGCCCTCTGCTCTAGCAGAGGCCATGCCTGTACCTGGAACCCCAGAGACCATGACAGTATCTGGAAGCCCAGAAATCCCCTTCTCTACTAGAGATGACAGTACCCTAAACCCCAGAACCCCAGAGACCATGTCTATACATAAAACTCCAGAGATCTCACAGGCCTCCAAAACCTCTGCAGAGACACTTTGAGGACTGGAGGGGGGAGGGGGTCTTCGGTCACCAGTAGGACAGGTCATTCAAGCCAGAAGTCCAGAAATAGAAAACCATGGGAAAAATGTATCCATGTTAAAAAAAAAATTGACGATTAAACCTAAAATTAACCTAAACCCAGATGCCTATATGCCAAGGAAAGGATACAATCAACAGCAATCAGGGCAATATGGCACCAACAGAGCCCAACTATCCTACTACAGCAAGTCCTGGATATTCCAACAGAGCTGAAACACATACACACACACAAACCAACTTAAAATCAATGTTATGAAGATCATAGAGGCCCTTAAAGAGTAAATGAAAAACTCCGTTAAAGAAATCCAGGAAAACACAAAGAATGGGAGGAAATAAATAAATTCCTTAAGAAAGCCAAGAGGGAAGGGGTGTGTGCAAGCAATGAATAAAATTGCTCAAGACCTGAAACCTGAAAATGGAAATAGATTCAGTCAAGGAAACACAAACTGAGGAACTCACAGAGATGGAAAATCTAGGCAAACTAGTAGGAAGTATAAAAACAAGCATTCCCAACTGAATACTAGAGAGGAAAGAGAAAATCTTAGGCATAGAGTATACAACAGAATAAATTAATACCATAATCCAGTCCTGATGAGACCTGATAGGCTAGAGTCAGATGGAAGGGAGGAGGACCTCCCCTATCAGTGCTAGGAAAGGCATGGGAGAAGAAAAAAGGGTGGGATTGGTAGGGGACAAGGGGATATAAAGTGAATAAATTATAATAAATTAAAAAAATTCTTTCAATACAATAATAATTATAAAATTATGAAAACTATTAGGTAACATTTACATGTGCAATGTCCAGCTCATGTGAATTTGGTAACTTGGGGAAAGTATCTGATTATCCCATCTATCTTGACAAGTTTAGATTTCTATACCTAAATTAACTTTTATCCTTATTGGTACTACTTATATGAAAACATTTTCTTAAATTCTAAACAACTTATGCTTAATTGAGGAACTATAACTATTTGATCTTCATCCCCATCAGAGACTTGATATTGGACTTAAAGGGGGAAATGTTGGTATAATGTTCTTTGGAATGTATACTATTTATCCTTGTTCATTCAAATGCTGATTTCTCTACCCCATTATCTGGTTTCAATCTGGACATTGCATTGTGATGCTTATTCTAAGCATCACCTGTCTCAAGTTTGTGTAAATGTGCCACCATTTGTTCTCTATCTTGTCAATTAAACAACTAGCCCCAATACTGTGCAATGGAGAGGTTAGTTTGGGACATCCTGATATGGAGGGGAGAGAGAGGAAACAGAGGAAGGAGAAAGAGAATCTGCAGTGGAGGTGTTGGAACCATGTGGAGAGATGGACCAGACCTTAGATATGACTAAAAGCAAGTATAATGGGTAAAATCTGAATGGTAAGAGACCACATGGACTTGAAGGTTTAGGAGGAAATAACTATTGCTCAGCATTGTGATCTAGGTTAATTAAATAAATCCCAGTCTCTGTGTGGTGATTTGGGTATACAGCTGATTTATGAATAACCACTGCTTTACTAAAAGATAAATCAATAGTAAATATTATAACCAATAACAATAGGGTAATAGGTCTTATATATCAATCTTGTATACCATGTATAGCTTGCAAATGTTATTGTATACTAGCAACTACAATTGTATTCATCCTGGCAACCACCATCATATTCTGTTTCTCATACAGGTATAAAAAGTGTGATTGCTCACAATAAATTTGTCTCACCCTCAGTTTTGCTGAGACCCTTCCAAAAAAATGAAAAATTCATAAGTCAAGAAGAATGTGGAAAAAAATTCTGGCATAAAACACACAGGAAATC